ATGATATGCTTTTTATTAAGTGAAAGCTGCATCATGATCCACATTCTACTTAGTTTTTATTATAGTATTCAGAAGCAGTAAGAATTGCCAACAGCTTTCCCACTTAAATATTTATTATGGATAAAATTTATTAGTGTGCTAAAACTAGAGTGTAAACATTCCTATAAAAACAGGATATTTATACAGTCTTAAAGGTCATTTCTAAAATGTACTTATGAATTATAAAGGGGACAGAGGAGAAACATGTAGACCACGCCTTAGTATCACGTCTGGTCCCTGATACACTAGGAAGAATACAAGATCACTTATGTGTTATTGATGCCAAAGCATTAACCTAATCTAGTCACAACACATCAGATGAACCATAGTGAGGGCATGCCACAAAATAAATGTCTGGTCAATATCACAAAAGAAAAGGAAGGCTGAAGAACTTCTAGAGTAAAGGAGAAATAAAAATTAAATGTAGTACTTGATCTTGCATTGGATTATTGGCCAGAGTTATCATTATTATTATTATTATTTCACTATATTATCTATTATTGGTGAAATTTAAATAACATTTGTAGGTTACAAAACAACACTGTATTAATGCTAAATCTCCTGATTTCAGTAACTGTGTTGTGGTTATATAAGTGGATGTCCTTGTTCACAGGAAACACATGTTGAAGTATTTAGAGGTAAAAGAGCATGATTTTTATGACCAGCTTTCAAATGTTTCATTAAAAAAATGTGTGTTAGTGTAGCGAGAATGAGTAAGCAAGTGTGGCCAAACATTAGCAATTGATAAATCTAGGTGAAGGGCATATGAGAGTTCTTTGCAATTTTGGGGTGAGTTTAAAATTGTTTTAAAATAAAAAAATATTTTTTAGGAATATGCCTTATGGTAATATTCCAAATAAAAAATGGAGTTTAAAAAAGTATCTTCAGCGGGGAGGGGGAAAATAAATAAAATATTTAAATAAATAAATAGAAAATAAAAGTGACACACACTAAACAAAAACAAAAAAAATAAAAAAGTATCTTCATCGAAGCTCTAGATCTAACTGAAATAATTTACTCAAATGATAGCAATTCCTTTTATCATTCTACCAGATGTGCAGGGAGTTCCATTCCTCCTTAGCATTTTGACACAAGCATTGTGAAGCCTGGAAATAAGTTTCTGATGGAGAAAATGTCCTCTGTCCAACAACAAACCCTCAGAGAACCATTCCAAGGGCAGATACGCAAGAGTGGCCTCTTTATGAATTCAAGAGTAGTCTTTCCAAAGTCATCTTGCATTTTGTCACTCCCTGACTAGAATCACTAAATGTTTCTCCACAGCCTTGAGGAGGAGCCCAAACCCTTTGGCGTGTCAATGGTTGGTTCCCGATTTGCTGTTAGCCCAGCAGAGCCTTCTATGTCCTGGAAGGTGCCCTTAAGCACTTCTCTGAGCCCACTTTTGCTCTTATCCTTACCATTCAGGAAGCCTTGCTCCCACCCTATTGTTCACTGAGTGCTCTAGGTCAAATCTTTAGAGACTGGTGGAGCCAAGACTCACAGTGGGCTCACAGGACTTTGTCCCCAGTCTACTGCATAAGCCAGTCTGCACCCTCACCAAATGCTTGGTCTCCTCTCACCTGGAAGGAGAGGAAAGACTATTCCTACTCTTTGGGTTTATGTTGACATGCAATTATGATAAATGTCACTTTAGGAAATATTAGATGGTAATGAAAGAGTATTGACCAACAGATCAGACTGCTTTCACATTTCTCGTTAAGCCTTATTTATCCTCCTTCCCTTAAAAAAATCTAATGAAATAATTTTAAATTTTAAAAGAGCTAACAAAATACCCACATTTTAATAAGAAAAAAAGCCAAACAAGTTCACTTTAATTCATCAGTGATTTTGTTTGCTATTGTGCTAAGAGTTTTTTGGAAAATGGTGGGGTGGGGGGGCGCAACTGCAATAATTTTCCTATTTTATAAATGATCCCGTGATCTACATTCTGTCATGATCATCACCTAAGACAATTTATTTTCTGTCACTTCGTGTGTAGATGAGCTGGATGCAGAGACATGATGTCAACTAGTGATGGGTCCTGGGCAGAGTCTAGTCCAGAGCCAAGACGGTCTGGATGTATGCATGAGAAAAAATGATAAAGAAGCAATTAATTAATTCATGATACCACCCCATACTAAGCTGCCCCACTATCTTTCATCTGGATTGCTATAATAGCCTCCAAAATGGTTACTCCACTTCATCTCTTGCCTTCCTACAATCCATTTTCCCCTCATAGCCAGAGTGATCTTGATAAAACACAACCAGATCATGTAACTCCACTGCTCAGAACTCTCCAAAGACTTCCCAGATCAGCAGACCTGGCCTCTGAGGCCCACGAGATCTGCCCCCTGACACGCTCTCTCTAACCCCACACAGCAATCCTTAGCTGGATGGGTGCTATCTACATTGGCCTTCTTTCTGTCACAACTTAAGTTTTCGTATAATCCAATCAAAATTCAAATGGAAAGCAACATGAAGCGCAAGAGAAGAAAAGGGAAACCAAGTGTGATATTATCAGAGGAGATTCTTGAGACAACTTAAAATAAGTTTAGATTTTCCATTATAATGAGCAAGCTTATGGAGAATTTTAAATTCATATTCTTCTAATTTTTCTTAAAGCACTCCAAATTATTTTTAATGATAGAGTATATTTGGTTCAAAATTATTTTATACCTACAGGAAAAACTTAAGACCCTTAAGGAACTGATTGTGACTTTCTCAAGGATTTAATTTCAAAAAAGTACTAAATTTAGTAAATTAGTGTTATGTTTACTATAAAAATACTTCATGTAGTTCTACTTTTTTTTTTTACAACAATATACATTTTCTTTAAATAAAAGTTAATTTTCTCCAATGTACCGAGTAATATTAATATATGTCAGGGATTTGTCTTGGATCATCAAAAAGTAAATTTAAGAACCATTTAATGTAATTATATAAGTGATGTGACTATTTCAGAACATTATGGAATGTTACTGGAAAGTTATTAAAATAGAAATAGCATTTTCAGAAGGATAGTTATATATTTTGATATTTATTTCTTCATTTATATAAGTGCTGGCTCTTTTATAAACATAATCTTATTGACATGGACAGAGACACAGATGACAACAGAACACGAGGCTTAAACACTAACCAAAAAAGTATTAGCTCTGAAAGAGCATTCTAATTGCATTTTAATTTTCTGGTTCCCAATTCTCTTTTATTGATAATTAATTATGGTTCCGATAATTATTTTTAAGTAGCCTTAACATATCTATATGAAAATACATGTGTTCAAAGGAAATGGTTTGTCGAGTTTCATTTTTTTATTAAAAATATTCGTGATTTAGCTCAAAATACACTTTGGATTCCTTAGTAATCCACAAGGGAGCTACAGACTGCTTCTGAATTTTGGATTAAATATGAGATCCCTTTATCATGTGTGAGTTTGTCATGAACAGAAGAAAGAAGATGTGTGAATGAGTAATACATCTTAATTCTAATTTCTCATTATATGCTAAGAATAATTTTTTCCTATATCTGAACCATATATAATATGCTTTATGATTATGTTTAGGCAAACATGACAGGACAAAATTGAGAACTCAAATATATGTCTATGAATGTGTAAATCTGAAGTTAAATGGGAATGTCACTCCTCATTTCAGCTAGGACCTTGTCGTTTTGAGTGACTCCTTTAATACATAAAATATCACAGAGTGCTGGGAGGACATCCTACAACTCTGGGTAGCTGAATCACTGCTTTGGCCCTATCCTCCACATCATCTCCTTTATCCCTCTTCAAGCCATCCAGTTAAAGACATAGTTTAGTGAAAAACAGTGGGCGCTGCTGTGCCAGATGCCCTGGCCTCTTTTTCTAGCCATTTTTCCAGCCCTATCTCCTTTTTAGATATTCTAGAGATCTCACTGGCTACATTGAATGCTTATCAGAAGCAATAATCCCCTGAGAGGATGGAAATAAAAGCTTTAAAGAAAGTAATTTTGGCCATCCCAGTACAGAGCCTACTGGACAACAGTGCTGTGCTGAAGAGAGGGAGTAGGGCTGAGCAGGCCAGCCAGAACTTCAGTCAGAGCAGGGCAGGGATTTTCTATTGTATACACTGGTTTCTGTATCAGCTTCGATTGGAAGAGAGGATTCTGAGAATGATAAATGTCTGAAGATCACCATGCCAGGCAGTGAAAACTTTGAAATGCTGTAATTGATGGGTATACACACAGACAAAATATACGCTCTTTTGGCACAACTATAAAAAAAATGATTTTCTGAGAAATTTAGCAAACGTATTTTTCTTTGGAACATGCTTAATCAAATCTCCAAATAATAATATTGAAATGTTTATCCCCCAAACAAGAGAAAACTAATATTCATATCATTCTTTCGTATAAGCATTACTGCCATCCAAACGATTAGGAAAGCAGCCCTAAATCCTGCAGATACGAAGCAAACTATATTTTCCTATTATATTGTAAATGTTCAGAAGAGATCCACCTTATTAATTACAGAATGCAGTCTCTTCTCATTTGATCTAAAGAACACATACCTTAAAAGTAAACTGAATTCTTTTCTTTCTATTCTTCCCATGGAGGCAATCACAGATCATAAAGTATAGAATTCTACTCATAGAATTTCTACTCGTTTGTTATCTGGTAAACTGCTTAATTGTTCATTTAGAAATATATATAGGGAAAAAGTACCATCAATATTTCTTAAAGGTATGCTGTCATCCTGATTATCAGCCTCATCAATACATTCATAAAAGTGGTTTTTACAATCATATTGTCTTTAATGTTTTTAACCAATGTTAATATTTTGGTATGGCAGAAAGCATTTCTCTTAAGCAGAGTTAGATTTTGAAGAAAGTTAATAATATTGACATTGATTCAAATTCAGTAAGCCACTTCATTAAAAATGTTTCCATCTTGCATCACTTAAAATATTTCAATAAAAATTTACATACCTCGGAATAGTCAAAGTCAGTGATAGGGGCTATACTCTTGATATAGTCTGATCGAAATTGGTTTTCTGGGTTGGCCAGTGGAACTGGAGGTATTATAGTACTCATCGCTGAAACAATCGTCTAAAATAGAATAAAAACATATGTATGCATGGATAAATATAACACTTAAGCTCCATATATATGATAATTTAATATATAATTTCTGTCTACACAATTTTAGAGAGCAAAGTACTTAACTTTTCTAGTAAACAAAAGTTCTTACCACAATAGCATCTTTAACATTTTTCCGAATGTCCAGAATTTTCTGTTTCTTCTCCCTGTATTAAAAGAGAATTGTTCTTAATTTGATTTATCGTTGGCATTGATTTGAATCAATTGGGTAGGATTTTAAATTTCCAGCTGCAGCACAGGGATAGACTGGTTTTCCTAGAGGTCAGCTCAACTCCCAGATCAACAGTTGCAAAGTTTTTATCTGGGAAAGGAAAACATCCCTCTTTTCTAATTTGTACTCTAAACAAACTTAAATGCACACATTACAATCTACAGCTTTAAACAACCATACAAGTTAATGAATATTGCATATAGAAACTATATAGCTACATTTGTAAATATATTTGATTTGAATCTATCTATATGTTGATAGTTATGAATTAAAATAGTTGCAGACAAATGATATAGAGAAAAGTATATATTGACATTGGCTAAGTGTGCTCAGAGAAATATCAAGAATATCAATACCTCAAGAATACCTAATAAATCGTACTTTGCTAAGCAAGTTATTTTATTTTTTGATCTAGATACTATCAGAAAAAGAATTTGCCTAAATATACCAAATTCAATAATACACTTCTATATTTTCCTCCTTTAAAGGTGTATTCAGTGATCAAATTGACTGGAGAAAGCATTTTTTGGGAACTGGGAGAGGCATGACAAAGTTTGCATGCGGTCTGGAAGCAAAACTGAAATTGATCGTTCCTTACTCAGGATTAAACCCATTGACGTGCAGGATCCTCATCTGTTTGACGATAGTGCTTTTCCCAGATTCACCAGCCCCTGCAAACAAACAAAAAGAATGCTGTGATCTGTAGCCCGATGCCCTTTCCGCCTCTCATGCTAACCCACACTGAACAATTATTGTACCCCAACGCAGGCATTTTTCAAGCGCACGCGGACTCTCGGCTGGAGGAGGTGGCGGCAGTCGCTGGGGCCCCTGCCCAGTGGGGCCTGCCTGGCCGACTCTGGCCGAGCTCCTGGCAGTGCGCTCGACTCCTGCCGGGAGCCGGCGCGCGCTCTCCCGCCTTACCCAGTAGCAGAAGGCGGTGAGTCGCTTTGTATGCCAGGCGCTCCTTCTGCAACTGCTTCTCGATCTTTTTGTTGGCCTCGCGTCTTTCTTTTTCATCGACTCCCTGGTCTTCTGTTGTCTTGCTGTTGCCCAGACAGCCCATGCCTGCCCGCTCGGATGGACGTCAGGCACAGTTAGGAACTTGCACAAAAAGCAATAGAGAGTTGTAGATACGTGTGGGTCCTGCGACAGCTTCTCTTCCTTGCTGCTGAAAGAGATGGTCTGGTTTCTTGGTGTTTTCCGAGCAGAACAGGCGGTTTTCTCCCGCCACCTGCCCACAGCAAACACCTAACTAACAAGGATGCAAGAAGACGCGCGGAGTCAAACGCTTTGTAAAGATAATTGTTTAGAATTATCTGCTGGATGAATGGCACACAATGAACGGAGACTGGGGTCGAGAGCGCCGCGCTCTGCTGGAGCCAGCCGGGTGGCGCAACGCCCTCCGCTCGCCCTACGTCCCCGCGCGGTGCTGTCCCTCTCTGCCCCGCCCCCGGCTGCGCCGCGGGGAACAGCTCAGGGGGCGACGCGCGCAGCCAGGTGCCGGGACCCTGCTGGGTGGTGGCCGAAGACGGCGCAGAGGGACAGAGCGTGCCGCCGAGTCCCCGCAGGGCGACTGCGGGCACCTGCCGACCGGCTTGCGTCCCGCTCAGCCTCTGCCGTCGGACCTGCACCTCTTCCTGGGTCTGAGCTCCCTCCGTGCCTACGCGCGGGAGGGAAGCGGGGCTGGCCTGCTCGGGGGCGGCCTGCACGATGGTCCCCAGGTGTCGGAGGGGAGCTAACGCTAACGATGCTGGAGGGGTCGGGAGCTGACCTCTAAGAGCCCAGCCCGCGGGAAGCTCACACGCGTGGGGTCCGGAGCGCGGCCGTGTGGCTGTCTAGAATCCCAAGCCCAGGAGAGTGGGTCTGGGCAACCGTTCCCCGCTGATCCTTCCGACGCCTCCCTGCTCCCAGGCAGGCGAGGCCTCGCGCAGGATTATGCATATTCTATCAGGGAGGAGGATCCGTAAGAGGCTCACCAGTCACACCGCCTTTGTTCCCTTCATTTTCTAGACTATTCCAGCGCACCCACGCCGCCGCCTCCTTTAGCCTCTTGTCTTTACCTCCAGCCCCCGTTTCTCCTTTGCAGTTTTCTGAACAGCTGTACTCCTTTTCTAGAAGACATTATGGCCTAGAACTTGGCATTGTAGCCAAGGAACAACTAAGGCAGGAGACAGGCATGTGTTCTCACGTATTGTGACTGACTATGAGATAGTCCCTCCATTCCTCCTATTGCTAGGCCGCAGGGGCAACCAGCCATTTTGTCTTGGCGTTGCTGTACTTGGGGGAAGGAGGGCAAAAGAGGTGACTGGGCAGCAGTCTGAGCAGCCAGCACTGCGCTGTGAACATCACTTCCGTGAGCGTTGTGGTTACAAGTTCATGGTCTCCAGGATCTGGGGGCCTGCACGTTGCATGCACATCTATTCTCTTACATGCCTTAGCTTAGCTCTCTTCAAATGCCCCACTTTTCTCCAAACCCACAACTTTCTCCTCACTTTCTGGATGGCCTGGCCTCCTGCACAGAGAGCAAACCCACCTGGCTGGGATCCTCACTGTGCTGCCTCTGTGCCTAATATCCTGGAGGTCTTTGCCCTGTTAACATGCCTCCTCTGACTCCCCTCTTTCTTCAACCTCCCCTTTTCTATTGGCTTCATTCCTTTAAGTGTACAAATACATTCATCTCTGTCCTTTTGAAAAGCAACAGCATGTCCTTCAATCTCAGGTCCTTTGTTAGTTCCACCGACTTTTCTCCTGTCCACCACAGCCAAGAGACATAAAGGGATATGACTTCCCTTCTCCATCCTTACTTTCTGTTCACACCTCAACCCCTGGACCCTACACTGAAAATATTCTCACTGGGTTCATCAATGGCCTCTTAGGGGCTAAACGTCACCCATGAACTTTGGTCTTTACCTTCTTTGACCTCTCTGTGGAGATGGCTCTGACCCTCCTTGAGAAGTTCTTGTCCTTTGGCTTTCACCATGCAGACTGTTTTGATTTCCTGCCTGCCATCTGGCTGCTGGATCTCTGCTCCTCCACGCAGCAGAAGGTCCTAAGACCAGCACTGCCTTTTTCCCCAATGGGGCTGATTGTATCCTGAATACTCTGTATACACAGCTTTGACTATGTCCACATCAAATCTCCAGCCCAGATCGCCCTCCTGTCCACTTTGTGCCCCCAGCCCACCTCCACCTCCATGCATTCCAGGGATCTCCAATTTTCCCTCTGAAGGCCTGAGCTCACCTCCATGCTCACCCCACACCTCCAACCTCCACCTCTCTGGGAATAAGAGCAGGCATGTGTTCTCACGTATTGTGAGCCCCAAATGTCCAATCAGAACATGGGAGCCATTCTCGATTCCCTTTCCTTCTTGCCATCCCAAATAGTTGCTGTATCCAATGGATCTGCGTCCTAAATATCTATCCTGTCCTTTCTACCCTATCTGCCACTGCCATGGTCTTAGATCACTAATCTAATCTGGATTTTTGCAGTGGCCTTCTGCTCACTTACTCAGGTGCACCCTA